CAACTGGTTAACAGCCTCAGCCACACATCACTGTGCTTTGGTAGGTAAGGGAACTAGATCCTGTGGGCATCGCCATGGCGTGAAAATGCAGGGTCATAGGGCACTTACTGCCCTGCCCTTTCCATATCCCTTGCATATTTCGTACTGTCTGATTGCTCCCTAGGCCTAGAGCCAAGGTACTAGGTTGAGCCCAAACAATTCTGCCCCACTGTGTATGCTCACAGCTGAAAGCTTGCCAATTGTCTTTGAACATGTCAAGGCTAGGTGGAGAAGGTTATTCCGGCCTCGGTATCGGTCCTGGTTTAGAACTGCAGCCATTGCCTTCAACCCATCGCATTTCCCGACTGGTGTATAGAGACGAGCGATTCGAGGTCCTGATCCTAGATGCTTCCCTGATTCTCCGGTGGTGGTGTGTGCATCCCCCCTTTCTCGCGTCGAGGCCTGCCATTGCCACCCTTCAAATCCACAGAGTGCATTGCGCTACAGACCTCCTCCAAAACCTGTTCGCGGATTAGGGGGGGGGCGAGCCGCCTTGCGGTGTAAAAGGGTTCCATAGGGCCCCATCATCCATGCATCTAGAATTATTGGCACTCGCAGTCCCGAGTGGCCTCCCCTTCCAGGTTGAGGTTTTCGGTGGTTGTGCATTGTGCCCTCCTGTTGGCATCCAGCATCAGGAGACAAATCCGAAACAACCCGTGCAACCCTGTTGGCAGTTTGCCTCAGGAACAACATTAAGCAAAGCTAAGCCGAAGGCATATCTTGCAGTCCTGTGGGTTCTCCCATTGCTGGTTGAGGACTTCCGTGATTGTTGCTTTTGCCCTCCTGCCGGCATTCCCCTCAGGAGTTAAACCCACAGCAGCTGAAAACAAGCATCAAAAGGGTTTGTGGATAAGATTCCAGGATCAAACGCACCAAAGGTATGTGTTGCGCCGCAGCTGTTTGTAGCTTCGTCTGGTTTGCTGATTGGGTTTTTGGAGCGTCATTTGTTGATTATTGAGACAGTGGGATTTAACTGCTAGCGCCAGTCGGCTAGTCTAGACTCAACTGCCAGCGCCAAAAAGGCCATCACTGACTTTCCACTCAAGCCAAAGTGCCATCCGAAACTGGGGAGAAGATTGCAGGTTACTGGGATTCAACAGCGGGTTCACTTGGGTTAAGTTTGCTTCCCCATCAGCAGGTTCACTTGGGTTAAGTTTGCTTCCCCATTTGTTTCATTGCGATCTTTGTTTCACTGCTACGCTACGCTACGCGACGCGGTTCTTGGCCATTTCATTGTATGACTGAGGGCTCGTGGCGGCAGGAACGTTTCTTGGTTACGCATCTGTCCCTGTTGGAGGTGGATTTCGACTCGCGCCTCAGCTACTTTGTACAAGCCGCCGAGGCAAGCAGCGGGGTCAGCCGCAATCGCAGGAAACTGTCCGCAGGTCGTGAGCTCTTGAAGGACGTAACGCAGGCGCATAGCATCGCGATAGAGTCTTTGTTTGTCCAGCAACGCTGGGAACGCAGGGCTGCGCTTATTGCGCTCAAGGAGGCTGTGGAGTCTATAGGCCTTACTTGGTTGCGAAAGGAGCCCTTGCTCCCGGGCGTGGACATCGAAGATCTTGCAGGCACTTTCTTTCGGGCGATCCAGGAGGCAGCTGAAGCATTTGAGGCCATTCTCGAAAGGGTTCCAGAAAGAATTGTTGCTACCCCAGCCACAGTTATCAAGACTCGTTCTTTGGAACCAGCCCATGCATCTGAACCATCCTCTTCAAGCCGCCGTTGCGCTCCAGCGCCCCTTGACTTGGGCATTTTGGTAAGGGTTCCTGTGCCGCCTTCGCCCAGACCCAGAATAGGAGGGATACCTACCCCAACACCTCCTAAAGCTAAACCAGGCCCTCCTTGTGCTCCTGATTTGTACCCTGCGCGTGCGTCTGACTTCCAGCCGCCCGCCCATCCGCTGAGCCAGAGGCAGAGGAGGAAGAGGTTGTTGTCATTGCAGATCCGGTGCCGCAACAGGCTTCTGTTGTGATTCTTGATTTCACATCGCAGAACGTGCGGGGTCTTGCAGACGCGCTCGCCGGCAATTGCCGTGGTACAACCATCGCAGGGCTGCTGAGTCTGGATCAGCGCGAAGTTGCTGACAGGTGGGCCGAGTGGACGAAGGATCTTGTGTGTCACGCTTGGTGCCGCAGTTTTCTTGTGTTCGTCGCATCCTACATTGGTTGGAAGAATTACGACGATCGTACAACCAAGGCGGTAAGGTTTTTGGCATCCCATCATTGATTCGCGTGAGCCATTGGAGGTTCCGCTGCAATTCTTTTTGTTAGTCACGTAAACGCCTCTTGGCTACGAAGGCAAATCCGCTGCCCTTGGATTAATTCACAGGCCGAGCTCTCTGAGAGAGGATTCACATGGCCACTTTGGCGCATCGACGATCGATCTGACATCACTCGTGAGGTTACAGATCAGTCGTTGCGTGTCAGGGGCATTTACTGGGATCCTCGAGCCTCGAGACAGGAGGTCGCTGGTTCGTCTGTGCCGTGACAAGGGCATCTTCTGAAAAGAAGCGCATTTGCCATTGCGTTCCCCATCCTTAGGTATAGTCACTTCTGGTTACTTGACGTGGTTGCTTGGCAGTCACTTAGGCCTTGTAACTCGGACTCTGTAGAGTTTTAGGTGGTTTGAGTGCGTCACTTGTGGGTGGCACGTCGCCTCCTTTCCCTGCGCTGCAAAGCTTTCGTGCAAACATGGACACATCAAATGGCGTGGAGACTGATTTGTTGCAGGTTTCCTCCAACACCAATGGCGACCGACTTCTTAGGCGCCTTGGCGCGCTTGCCGTGATTCAGACAGCTGCTAAAGCAAGTAGTG